ACCGGAACGGGCTTATTTAGGTGCTGACGTTTCGAAAAGTTGGGTCGGCTCCCCATTGTCAGCGCGTAAAGTGCACTTAATCGACCAGAAATCCCAAGTGGCATGCCGCGTCGGTCGGCCCTAAACTGATCGATTTTTCTCTTCTCTCGTTGCTTCGGCCTCTGGGGGGACAGTTGGCGGACGTTTTCTCTGTGTTCTTAACGAGTCACCGCTTCGTCGGTTGGTCGGTTGGGTGGTTCGTCTTCCTCGCGGAGTAGACTCGCCGTCGGCCTGTCAATGTATGGCCTCCTTAAGACGATTGTGGTTTCTTGGTCCTGAGCTCTACGGACGTGATGATGTAGGACCTTGTAGGGCGCAGGAGGGTCAATATGCCTGTTGACGGAGCTGGCATCAGAGTACCAAGCCTGGAGTGTTAACAGTTTTGCTTTTGTATTGCCCCGGCCTAAGGTGGTAGCTCTCTGGAGGTCTAAAATACGCCCAGTTTCTCCAACGTGCGTTGCTAGTTGGGAGTTTGGATTTAGCCTCAGAGTTGCTGATTTGTGCTCTTGTAGGTGGGTCTGCAGTTTCCGCCCGGTTTCCCCAACATAGTTGCAGTGGCCCTCACTGCAACTTACTTTTTAGACAACTCCTGAGATTTCAGCGGGTGGCAGTGTATTCTTAGGTTGCATCAGACGGCGCCGTAGTGCCTCCTAGTGTCGATGGACTATGCCTACTCTGGCGAGTTGTAACAATCCAGACACCGCCTCGGAGGCCGCTTAAACGTAGGGAATGTCCCTCCAGACTTCGAGTTGCTGCTCATTTGGCCGTTGTCCGTGAGTCCGACGCTGCTGCTCTCTATAAAATGTCCAGGATAACCATCGGCTGCAAAGAGGTTCTGAGGGTACAGTCGTTCGGCCCTTTTATCTTCTGGCATGCTGCAGTGTGTTTCGCCTCTTTGGAATAGAATTCAGACACAGTTACGTTTGTGAGGCGGAATGATTACTGTTGAAATGTGGGATTTGCCTCGCGTTAGTGGATTTTCTGAATACTGTGGTTTGCAGATGTCCATTTATACACGGGTGCATAAGCACGTCAAGAAAGGGCAGTTGGTTGTTTGTTTCTGCTTCCATCATGAATTGGATGTCCGGGTCAACTGAGTTCAGTAGTTCTTTTACGTGCTCGATATCAGTTGTTTTGACAACGACGAAGGCGTCATCGACATAGCTATCCCAGACCTTTGGTTGATACTTGGTGCACACCAATTTTTTCTATCCGTTGGTGTACTACTTTAGCAGTTAGGCCTGACAGAGGAGAGCCCATACGAGTGCCCTTAATTTGTTCTTACATTTGTTCACCAAGGTGAAATAGGTCTTGAGGCAGTGTTGCAGAAGCTGGAGCAGATGTTCCGACTCTCCTCTCTCCTCATAGCGCACAGCCAGTAGTTGGTTCATAATGTCTATGGCCAACTGCTATTAAATGGAAGAGAAGAGCGAAACGACATCAAAGGATACCTTGGATTCGTATGGCTCTAACTTCGGTTTTTTATGCGTTAGAGGAATTGGTTCGCAGATGCTACTGTTGTTGGTGAGCCTTCGGTCAAAAACTTAAGTCGACCAAACATCCATTTTGACAAACCGTACGTTGGAGTACCACGAAGGGATATGATTGGCTTGAGTGAGATATTTTCCTTGTGTAACTTCGGTAGACCTTAAAAACGAACCGTGGCGGTGTCAGTGGGTTTCATGGAGAACCAGTCGTTGGGCGTCATCGCCCCCATGGTCCTGAGATTTCTTAGGCTTTTGTTTATCCGGGAGATTAGATTTGTCATTTCGCTGGCACGGCATTGTTTGTAGGAATGCTGGTCTTTCAGTAGGTCCTGTACCTTGTTCTGGTAGTCCGATTTGTCCAACACAACTGTTGAACGCCCTTTATCAGCTGGCAGAATAATTATGTCCTCATTTGCTTTTAGGCTTTTCAGTGGTCGCTGTTCCACATTGCCAAGAGTTTGGCACCTCTTGTGTCGCATAAGCAACGGGAAGGTTTGGTGGCGGATAAAATCTGTCGTCTTTTCTGATGCTCTTGTTAATTGAAGAGCAGATTCGAAGGCAGCAATAAACTATGCGAATGCGGCATCTGCTGTGTTAAAAGTGACTCCACGTTCAAGAAGTGTGAGTTGTATGTTTTTGAGGGGTTTGGTGGAAGGGTTGTGGACTTAGACGCCTGCCGAGTTGTCTGGGTTTCGTACTCGAAGTTTTTCCCAATTTCGTTGACAATTCCTTGCCTCTTTTGACTTGTACTTTCTGAGCAGGTCTGAGAATCGTCAGTTCAATATCCATCGATTCTTCACCGGCAGCTGCCCAGAGATGAGATTTAGATTGCTTTACCTCGATGTTGTAGCGTTCTAGTATTTGATGGCAATCGGGAATTAGCACTCTCGTCATTCTTCTATCATGTTGGGCTACAGTCTCCCTTGCTAGAGCAGAATTCACAGGTTTGTAGGTGACACTTTTTAGGGTCAATTGGTTGTCAGTTACTACTACTACTACTACTACTACTACTACTACTACTACTACTACTACTACTACTACTACTACTACTACTACTACTACTACTACTACTACTACTACTACTACTACTACTACTACTACTACTACTACTACTACTACTACTACTACTACTACTACTACTATTACTACTACTACTACTGTTACCAACCACTACTACTATTACTACCCACCACTGCTACTACTACTGCTACTACAACTACCACTACTGCAGCTTTTACTGCTACTACTGCCACCACTACTACTACTACTAGTACTACTACTACGACCACCACCACTACTACTATGACTACTACTGCTGCTTCTAAAGCTTCCGCATCTGTCTCCTGCATTGTCGCTACTTAGAGAGGAATGTAGAATTTACCTACCGCAGCGGCAGGTCTCCACCTCCCGTCCTGTTATCCTGCCTGTGCGTGTTCCCATGACATTTTAAGGGCGCGTAATTAAAGGGCACGAACCGATTGTTTTTCTGCGACTGTAGTCTGTGCTTCAGGTTGACTGTCTTCACCCTTCTTCACCCCGACCTACTCTCAGACGTCCTGCTGCCTGACTTGTCAGCCGCTGAGGGGGCATGCCCAGGAAGATAAAATACTGCACTCGCTCGGTCTCCCTTTTGCCCTCCGCACCATAACTTGTCGTTGATCAAATGCTGGGATACAGATGGCTTGTTCGTTTGACCGTCGTTGGCGATGCGGACCACAAGCCGGAGTCCGGAGGCCATTATTCCACCTAGTTGGCCGATTGGAGGATGAACATTATGAGAGATCAAAAGACGGTCTTTAGCTTGGCAATACACTTTTTCGTGCTGTTCAGCTCGATATTCTGAACGAAGCTTGGTGACGTGGATGTTAGAAGGTGGAATTTTTTGTGTCGTGACGCTGTCGTAAACTTAGGCGCGCTAAATTCAACTGTGTATGTTGACCGACACGACAGTTCGACCGTCGTACCCGACGATATCCACCGTGGGCTCCACAGAAAAGTGTAGCAGACACGGTGACTTGCGCCCGAATTAGTTTATAGCGGGTGTGGACTTGCGCAGCATCTACCCCACACTCTCCTACTCCTTCCCACCTGGGCCCAGTGTCAAGAAGACCGGAGGTGAGGGGGGTGCAGGTGGCTAACACGACCGGACCCGCAGCTAAGCGCACCGCCACACCTTCTGGTTCTCAACAAACACTTGACCAAGATTTTACACCAACAACAACAACAGCACGCCAACAGGGGCCAGAACGACCAGGATGACTGAACAGCCATGCCTATCACCGGTGTACTTAGCGGAAGTGCAAGTGCATCTACCGGCAGGCAACCAGGTGTCATGGAACTACCAGCGCATACCAGGCTGCGAGGGCTATGGTTTGCTGATCCCGGCGCAGCAAACGCTTGCAGACCTTTTGAAGTTGCGCATCCAAACAACTTTGGGGATAGAGAAAATTACACATTTCTCAACGTCATTAAGAAGACGTCATAAGGGACTCATAAAATTTTGCAATGGATGTGGGCCATGTTGCGTAATTTATGAACAACATTAGTAGACGCACAAATAGGATGGTGTATAAGCGGACATTTAATGGTCTCAAATAAACTCATGATTGCAAACTTCTTTTAAGACTGAAAGCTGTCCTACCCTCAAATAGGAATTTTTAAGAAAACGGAATTTCCGGCCGAACGTATTTTTACGCCTACTTTCAACGAAATGTGTTTTAGCTTCTGAACACATCGAAAATTGGAGAGAAAAGTTTATATTACTCAAGTGGTCATTTTGTGCCGAGTGTGGTTCTTACAGGCGCTGGAGAGATGCTCATTGAAAAGCCAGCGTCCTGACCGGAAGGAAATAGTTTGCGGTTATGACGCACGATAACCAACATTACAATTCCGCCTAAGTAATCCTATCCAATCGAAAACATATTTCACAATTCAAGTTGACATTTCGTGATGGCTGATCCTGACACAGCAAGCGCTCACAGACCTGGACCAAAAACAGCATGTAAACTCAAGTGAGCCGTACGCGACGGGTCGGAAGCCCTTTCGAGCCGGTGTTCCATCAGTCATTCGCCAGCATACACCTGCCTTATTGGTTCTTTTCCTTTGTCTGGTTGTTTAATTGCATTGCGTCGGTGGCCTCCTGTATCAGGAAACGTCCTATATGGCCTGCAACCCAGTCAAGGGGCCTATCAATATATTCGCCTTGACGGTAGACTCGAATGAGGGTTCAGAAGGTCAGACAAGCAAATATAAGTGTCGGAATTGGCGCCGCCAATTACATCCTTACGAGATAGACACAGTGGGAATATATTTACAGAGGACATACTTTCACAGCGCCTACCTGACTCTGCATCCCACAAGACCACAGTACTCCAGTAGCGGCCGTGGACGCCCTGGCTGGCAAGGCAAAACATGCCTTCTGCGTGTTCGACCTGCTCTTCAGCTCTACACGTGTCAGGCTTTAACAAGGGGGCATTGGAGCTCATGTAAGTGCAAATTTCATAAAGGCCCCAGTAGAAAGCCGCAACCTAACCCTCAATTCGGAGTTGTAGCGAGTTACCCTTTCAAATGGCAACCTCCTAAAGCACAGCTGTCATTGTGTCGTAATAGTTCCGTAGGGCGTTTGAATTGATTATAATGTAAAAATGGAACATCTGATTCGAGTTAAATCAGCCCTACTCTCTTTTCCTTCTCCCATATAAGGAGACTGTACAAGCCTAATGAGGGTGAGGTTGGAGGCAGTAGCTGATGGGACGTGAAGCCGCCAACTAGTACACGCTACGCCCAGGCCCTGGTCTCGGCGAAGTGAGAGCTACCATAAAGACCACTCTATGACGGAGCCATTACGATCAGGCCGTCGTTCCGAGAGAGGAGGATGAATTATCCCATCAGCCGTCACCCTTCTAAGCCACAACTTTTGGTACGTACGATAATACTTGAGAGTCCAAGCAGACTCCCGGCAGTCCCACTAACGGATGCCGGCATAGACCCCATCTTAATTGAGTTCATCAGACACACAGCCTGGTTTTTGCTCCTTGCCAGCTAAACATACTCCAACGGCAGGTCCAAGTAGGGGGGGGGAGGGACTGAGGGCCCGAACTCCTTCGTAATCGGACCAGAAATAGCTGCTCCAGTCATTTTTGTCCTTGTGGGTATCCCATGATTACAGTAAATGCGCTGCCTTGTTAAATGTTGGCCGAAATTCTGAAATGTTGGGTTGGAATGCTAGTTATCGTGCAAATTAATCCCAATATATTTTAATCACGTCAGGACGCCGACTTTTGAAAGAATTCTCTTCCGGTCGTCGGTTAAAACGACTCTCTATAAAAATTGCTACGTGAATTGCAGGAATTTTTCCGACCGATTTTCGATGCTCTTGTAAATTCGGATATAATTCATTACAAACACGCACATAAATATTCTTTCTTGCATTAATTTAGTGGAAAATTACGTCCTCGTCAAATTTTATATTCAAAGAAGTGACTTTTGGTTTTTTTGAAAAAAACTTTAGTTCCCGAGTAATGAGAACCTGACCTGCTGTTTCACCTGTATTCAGGGTTTTCAAACTACAAGGGGCATATTTTCCATGCTAGGAAAATCACCCATTTCCCTAGGCTATTAAATAGGCCCCATATGGTGCTCGCGAAATTCTGCATTAGATGCAGAACATGTCGCATACTTTACATGCAGCATTAATAAATTAACAAAAACGATGCCTTATGGGTGGAAATTTCATGGCCTTAGAAATCTCACAATTAAAAGCCTCTTATAAAACTGACTGACACCCTTTCTTCAAGCATGCAGTTCAGAGAAGTCGTAATTCTCTACCAAATGAGTACAAGCAGAAATATTTTCAGGCATGTTTTCTGTAACAGATATCTGAATTTTTAAGAGCATCAAAGATCAGTCGGAAAAGTCCACACCTTCAAGTAGTCATTTTCAGTGTAGTTTTTACACGCGGCTGGAAAGGAGTTCATTCAACAGCCGGCATCCTGACGTAGCTAAAATACCCTGAGATCTAGTTGCACTATAATTAGTATTACAACCCCACTTAAGTAGTCGAAAACACATTTCAGACTTTCGGCCAACTCCTCATGAGATAGAACATTTACTGTTTTTCGCACTGCTACCTCCCGCGAAGGCTCAAGACCGAAGCCCTATGCAAACTGAATGAACATTTCGCATGCCGTAGTGGCGTTAGTGGGCGTTGAATAAACTTGAAACAATACCGTCCCACTGTGCACCGTCTTCGTCAGTCAAACTTCAGTGGATAGTTCAAATAAAACTTGGTTCTGTGGGAAGTCTTTTCAGTGTCGTCTTTCGGCACATCTAAGGGATTAGATACATAACAGGCAGGATCTCAAATGGCTCATCTGTCTGAAATGTGAAAGGTTCCTCCGGCGCCTTATTATTCTATCCCTGTTCAGATGAAGACGCTCGTCTCCGTAAGTTGGTCCCATGTTTACTCCCGTAGTTATTTATAGAAAGATTCCCACACCTCGGACATTTCTCGGGCAGCCATGTCTCCTAACTTACGAGAACTCTTGAATGTGAATTGACCGTCTTCGTGTATTCTGGTAGTTAGGCTGTTATCAGTACTCTTACTGCAGCTACGTGGATAGTTTCGGCAAAAAATGCGATAGATCACTGACGATATAGCCACGATTGATGAAAATCTACATCTTCAACTGTTGCCTTCAAAAGGCTTAACTAAGAGCATAAAGTTACACTGTCAGCTCTGAATACGGAGGAATGTCAAAATTTCCTCAAAAATGTACTTATAACTTACGCCCGTTTACCCAGAATTTCTGGGGCATATCAATTAGTTCATCTGATCTTCCACACTAGCGATCCACACCGCCCATCGAAACTAGTTTCCCGGACCTGTGCTAGAGCTCTGCGCCCATCCGCGCAGAGAATGGAGTTCGCCTGCGCGGACTTCAGTTGGGACACCAAGGACCCGAACCTCGGAGTAAAATACGACTGATTGGTAGTGTTTCTCGGGACAGGCCGAGTCAAGACGAAGAAGACTTCGTTCTTTTGTAATAATCAGTTTCAAGGGTAGTATAATACACACAAATGCAAAGTAATGGCTTTTATACATACGTTCGCACAGTATTGCGTCACTTGTGTCTGTAGAAAGTTCTCCTGGCTTCTCTTCACCGAAGAGTAGTTCAAGGAAAGTAGAGAATAAAACTGTCACCGCTTGGGTACGGAGAGAGGGATGGGGGAGGGAGGGGGTGGCAACTCGGTTCGGTTTTGCCTAGAGGACCAGTACGAAAATCAGCCGTTCACAGGATACCAAGCGCAGTCACCAGGGAGGAATTGTTATCGGAGGCGATACCAGACTCATGCAATGGAGATGTGCCCGTCACCTTACCGACCGGGAACATGTCTTCTGCTTCCGCTTGCTGGTGATAACGGTGGGTGTGATGGTACCGCTGAGGCGAGACTGCTGTCCGAGGGACGGAAGAGGAGCTGGAAAATCCAGGCGAACTGCCCAGGTTGCTTAGATTCGGTGAGGTCTCACCAGAAGTCGTCCCCCCAGGGCCCAAAGTAGTCTTCTGCGCAGCGGCCGAGAGCTCTGCAGTGGACACAACGGTCGGCTGTCTCTTCGGCGAGGCCGGACCTAGGCTGTTGCAGGGTCCCACTAACCGGGGTGATATGTTGGCTGAACCCACTGTCTGAAGAAGTTTGTCTTGCACAGTGGGTCCGTTGTGGGGGTAGGGCGGCGGGGCCAGTTTCTGACCCAGTGTAAAAAGTTTCCGTCGTCTCTTGGCCCTACTCATTTTCACCTTCTCTCTACCTCCACAGTGATTGCAATCCACCTCATAGCTCTTTACCGGTTGCAATTGACAGCACATTGGTTTGGCTTGGCAAAGTGATGGAAGCTCGGCGGGACAACAGGTAGGCTGGAAGATGCTATCACTTGCGGGCTGATATTGCAAACCCTCGTAACCTTTTACCAGAGAGCCGGAATTGTGGTCCTGATGACTGCTACATTGGTGGTTGGAGTAGGACCGCTTAGAGCGCTCAACAGCCCCGCGTCTACGACAGCCCCGACAGGAAATCACAGTAGCGGAGACCACTATCACCACGAGAACTAGGCAAATTGTAATGATTATCGTGGAAATTTTGTTGCCTGATTGCAAATTGGTCATCGGGAAATCCTCCGACTGTCGATGACTCGGCAGCGCCGCTTTCGTTGTAGACACAGTGGGGCACTTCTCCATCATGATACTGGTGAAATTCTGCTGCACCTGACTGTGCCTCGGCAACCGGACAGTGGGGTTGTCGGAGTGCACATTTAGCTGACCGCTAGCCGGTTCATGCACGATCTGAAGGATGCCGTCGCCGGAGAAGTGGAGAAATGCATCAGGTGCAATTAATTGCAGAGGGTTGTCCAGGAGATTTACTTCCCGCAGTGCTCTGAGGCCCTCGAAAGCCAAACTACCAATAACCGTAAGTTGGTTTCTACCCAGGTCCAGACGCCGAAGTCGCATGAGTTTCGAGAGTCCGCTTGAGGGGAGACAGGTGATTCGATTGTCTGCCAGGTTCAGGGTAGTTAGGCGATTGCGCTGGGTGAGGGATAGCCTCTCGAGGGCAGGCCCGGGCACTTCCTCGAGTGCGTTACCGGACAGGTCCAAATCACGAAGAGCTCGCAACTCCAGGAAACTATCCAAATCAATGGAACTTACACCCAATCGGGAAAGACTCAACCTCTGAAGATGGTGTAGTCCATGGAACATGGCTGGCGTCAACCGTCCGAGGCTGGCCTGATTCATTCCGGTGGGAGGACCCGAAATGAGCAATTGACGGAGGACAGAGAGCTTACTGAATGTTCCACCAATGATGGCATTGAGGGGATTTTGACGTAGATCCAGTTCCTCTAGAGACTCCAACCCGCTCAACATGCCTGGGTGCAACTTTTCCAGCTTGTTACCACGCAGTTCCAGTTTGCTCAACTGGCTTCCCCTACGTGGTGGAAACCATGCCGGTTCCAGGTACCGAATCTGATTATCGCTCAGGTCCAGACTACGCAGCTGGCCCGATTCCTCATTTAAGCCCAGAAAGGCATCTCGCGTTACTCGGTTGAGACTATTTCCGGACAGATTGAGATGGCTAACACTTAGGCCAGTAAAGGCGGCTTGTGGAAGGAAGAAGAGTTGCCTGTTTCCCGTAAGATGAAGAGACTGAAGATTTGGAAGACCGCTAAACCCAAGTCCGTTTGGTGGAAGGGAGTCTACACGCGTGTCTGAGATGCGTACATCTACCAAATTGTGGCAAGGTACCTCGTAAAAGACATTTGGAGGCAGTTGTCCTAATCGTTCTCCATGGAACCAGATTTTGAAGACAGTTGGTTTGCAGCAGGATAGTAGGAGACTGGAAAGACTTTCGGTAGTGGCGGCTGCTTCGTTGAAAAGGCACTTGCATGTAGCGTCCTGAATTTGACACACCGGGTTGATGCGTTCGCCGCCAGAAGGGAATACGTGGAAAATCAGGTGTGACACAAACAAGACTAGACAGTTTGCAACGGCATAATCAGATCTCTGACGAGCAAGCATAGTTTTGTGCACATCTTAGCTATTAGAGACAAAAGTCCTGCCGGCACCTGTTGAGATCCACGTGCGCACCTGGGCCGGCCTCGGTGGATATTTAAATGCTCGCTTCGCCACGCTTGAACCCCGGCCGGAAGTTCGTTTTAATTGGTGCTCACCGTCCGCTTACACGCGGTTGGTAAATGGCCAGCCAATGAACGTGTAGCACTCGGCTGGCATGAGAGTGGTGACAGGCGTAGCGCTTGCCCGTTTTCAAGCGGGTCTACGACCGTCTATCAGAACGCGTGGGCCCTCCGGTTACCCGTCTGCTTATGGGGGAGGCGTTCAGTAAGGCTCACCAAGAAAACCCTGCAGTGGATTTTCTTTCCACAGAAGTTTGCAGACGTTTTTAAAAAATGACAACTCCTAAAAACCGGGCTAGGGAAAAGTGCTACTGAGCCCCAGTGTGTTGAGTTGAACTACAGCATGTGGTACTCTGGTTTTCCATGGGTTGAAGTTTAGGGTTTAGTTACCTGGGTTGATGACACATGTGCTGAAACTCATGACGAATTGATGGGACTTTTGAAGTACGTTTTGGGTAGAAGACTTTACATTTACAGGTTTTCTAGTATGAGTAGATGTACAGCATAATCTACTACTTGAGCAACTCCAGTCTTTTGGCTTACGTTTGTGCATTTCTGTAGCTATTCATTTCGACGTACTCGCAAAATGTATCTAGGAATAGTTTCTATCTTACAATTCGCCTTCAATGACTGTGTAAAATTGACTATTTTTCCGAAGCTTGATTAAAAAAGTTTTGCTATTTTTTTTGGGAAGGCAGCTCAACTTTGGGAATCGAGAAACTTTCATTCCGGAAAATTACCATTAGTCGTTTTTAAACGCCCAGTCCGATGTACAGTACCTGACCTATCTTATGAAATGCTAACTGAACTTCTAAAATATCATTTCAATCGGAGAGGATTACTAAGCGAAGTTGTAGCATTGGTCATCGTACGGCCTAATCCCAAAATATTTCAGTCACGACAAGATGTCGGCTCTTAGATGAGCTGCTTCCCGTCTCCCCACGACAGTCACACTCGGCAACTGAGTAGTATGAATTTTTCCCATCTATTTTCGACGCAATAAGGAATTCGCATATATTTACATACCCTTTCTTGTGCCCATTTGGTATCAAATGCCGCCCAAAAATTTTATTCTCGAGTAAATGGTAGATTTGAGTTTTAAAAAACTCTTCAGTTCTTTGATGATTGTGAACCCAACCGGCGTTTGTGCTTCCGACGAGAATTCGACCCTCGGATTGGACGATGTCCACTGTGTGCCCTACAGCGAGGCGGAGCAGGGACGGTGACTTATGCGTGAGTTAGTTTACAGTGAAAGTAGATTTGCCCAGCATCTACCGCACTCTCTCTCTTCCCCACTCTCCACCTGGACCCGGTGTCAAGAAGACCGGAGGCAGAGAAGGGCGCAGGTGGCTGGCACGGTCGAGACCGCACCTTGACGCTCCACTCCACACCCTCTGGTACACAAAACAAATGACCAGGATTTTGCGCCAGCAACAACAACAGCACCCCAACAGGGGCCAGAGCGACCAGGATGACTGGACAGCCATGCCCATCACCTGTGTACTTAGCGGAAGTGCAAGTGCATCTACCGGCAGAGAACCAGGTGTCATGGAACTACCAGCGCATACCAGGCTGCGAGGGCCATGGTTTGCTGATACTAGCATAGCACACACTTACAGACCTTTTGAAGTTGCGCATCCAAACAACTTTGGGGGTAGAGAAAATTACACATTTCTCTACGTCATTAAGAAGACGTCATAAGGGACTCATAAAATTTTGCAATGGATGTGGGCCAGGTTGCGTAATTTATGAACAACATTAGTAGACGCACAAATAGGATATTGTATGAGCGGAAATTTCATGGTCTCAAATAAATTCATGATTGCAAACTTCTTTTAAGACTGAAAGCTGTCCTACCCTCAAATGGGAATTTTTAAGAAAACGGAATTTCCGGCCGAGCCTATTTTTACGCATACTTTCAACGAAATGTGTTTTAGCTTCTAAACACATCGAAAATTGGAGAGAAAAGTTTATATTACTCGAGTGGTCATTTTTTGCCGAGTGTGGTTCTTACAGGCGCCGGAGAGATGCTCATTAAAAAGCCAGTGTCCTGACGGATATGAAATAGTTTGGGGTTATGACGCACGATGACCAACATTACAATTCCGCCTAAGTAATTCTATTCAATCGAAAACATACTTCGGAATTCATTTTAACATTTCATGAGATCGGTCACTGACTGTGTTTAGCGGAAAATTCGCAAGTTTCTCAGCTCTTCTTACAAGTCGTCTCATTTATTATTCCGTTAGTATTCAAAAATGTCATGCACTTCGGGGTGTCTCGTACAAGCAAAACAAAATAAATTATGAAACAGCTTTCATTGGGCACACGTACATAGCGGTTTAGTAATCCTGAGAAAGGGTGAAAACCTAGGTTGAGTTTTTGGACAGCGAGAAAAACATTAGCAAACTTTGCGGTAAGTTCTATAATTTAAAGAAACTGCCAAGAGACGGCGAGTCCCACCCAATAACTAGGGCAAAATATATAATCTCTGGCAATTCATTCTGCGAGTCCAATGGTTTTTAATTAACGATTTCACGTGTAACTACGAAGGTTTTTGCTGGAAAGCCAGCCTCACGCGGCTTATGAACTAATTAAAGAGAGCTCATTTCGTGTTTATTAGAATTTGAACGTTATTTGAGTTATTTTTCTTCAAAAGGCTTGTAAGTGTCTACCACTTCAGTCTGTCTTGTCGTTGGCGGGAATGCACACTTGTTTCTGTGCTTGCATACTTGTAAACAGGCGTGAGAATTTTGACCAACGGTATAACGGCTTTTCTCTTGCTCCGTTCTGCGACTAAGGCACGTCGAAATCGAGTCAGGCTTGCATTTTCAACCAACTCGTTCAGGTTATATCCACAAGAAAATAAAAAGTTATCAATATTTTTCCATCAAACGTCCTCATAGTTAATTTAATAGGAGGCTTATTAAATTACTGCCTTACGACGTAGAAGCTTTTGGCTGGTTCCCATCCAACCTGCTTCCAGCTATTTCCTTTCCTTTGGCTTCACACGACGTTCCCACAAATATGTGATTATATCCTTCGGCGCACGATGCGAGGTCCGCTATTTCGGTAGACCAAAGTAGGTGCCGTAAGGTCTGTGGCCTGAATTTGGCAGAAACCTCAGGCCGCCTCACTCACTGCGCCCAAAACCATCTCCAGCCGATCGTGCATAACCATTTCCCACCATAACCCAACCGATGGACGGTAACAATCGGGAGAGGGCACCCAAAAGAATACTGCCGGCCAAAGCAGCGATCTTATCGCAACTGTCCTAAGCTATGCAGTCATTGACTGAGCCGCACACTGGCGACTGCGGTAGCTCCTGACCTCTGGAAGTAATGGTAAAAATTGATAATCGAAGTGTTCGGTCAACGGCGATCGTATTGCGATTGTCCGTTGGTAAACTACTATAGAATAATCCGCATAGGGACTACTGCGGTCGCTTGTCAGAAGTGCAAGCTTATATTAAGGTTGTTTAACGTAGGGTGGGTCTACGGCGATCGTTTCTCAACTCTCCTAAGGTATGCAAGGGTAGATTTAGCCGCAACCCCACTATTGCTGTCACTCTTCAGTCGTTTAAGCCTAGGTCAAGGTTGATTAACTATGGCTCGGTCTGCGGCGGTCGCATCACAACTGCTGGAGACTATGATAATCTAGGTGAGGCAGCATGTGGACTGCAGATCAGATAAAATTGAGGTTGGATGAAACAACAAATATGTAGGGCCATAACCTACTCAAATAGGTATAGCAGGTATTATTTATAGGCAACGGATATTTGGGTGCCCTCTCCCGATTGTTACCCCGATGGACATTTGAGTATCCCAGAAAGCTAGCACCCACGACCTTAAGGACTGCCAACAGGTGGTCCTACCCTCCGATCTCAAAATCAGACTGCGGTGGCTCGTCCTTCATACTGGCCTTTATTGACCTCTAGCCGATGGCATATCAGGCTGAGTGTACAGTGATGAGCAAGTGTGTGTGTGTGGCACACCTAACGGGCTTTAACGCCAGTTCAGCCACCGTGCCCATGCCCCTTTCAGGTTGCATTGGCCTTTATTGATTTGTTGATTTGAGAGAGTGTGCAGGCAGCAGTTGCAGAAAGCTTCCTCACCCAACAAGTGTGCCAGCCGCCACTTTGGTCCTCGGCGCGCAGCGCAAGTGCCCGGACTTTGTCCGACTACAGCCAATGAGCGAGGGAGGCATTTTCGGTTAACCTCGAGCTCTCGCTGTGACCCAAACCATCTACCTACAGGGAGCGTGAGGTGAACATAGAGTGGCATGTGTAAGCGGCGTGCCGGCGATTATGGGGGTGAACTGTCACATATTGTCTTAGGGTATGGCGAATGTAGTAAATGAGATAGTGAGTTAGGTGTGGCAGAGGTTCCCCTGCCACGATAAACAAATCACACGCAGGCCGTTATTGGACATCCGGTTCAGCGGCGATTCGCATTTCTTGTGACGAACGACAGGTTAGTGTGGAAACTCGGCGTGTCTGACGTCCTTAGTGAGACCAACATGCTGATAGAGTGATCTTTTTCATAATAGGACTGGTAACGTTTAAAACAAAAAACCCTCACCGAACCTCGATGGGGCCAAAAAGACATGATTTTATTTAAAGCGCACAGGTAGCCAAAAAAGATGAATGTTAAAGTTTAGTACGTAGGTAATATATTATTATTTGCATTTCTATTTCCGCCCACATATGACAACGCCAGGTCGACAGTGGGAGTATACCTATTCGACAGTCGTTTCCACGTCTGTCCAGTCTGTGCTCCACAGCAGGATAACAGCTGGGGCTACAACTTGGTTGTAGATAGTCGACTTGCGCTGCACCTACCGAACCCCCTCTCATCCTTCCCCACTTGAACCCGGTGTCAAGAA